TTGTAATTCAGTTTTAGCATACAGAAAGGAATGTATTTGTGCTCCAAAAAATGTTCTGACTCTTAGTACTAGCTAAATTTTGTTAAAAGCACAGACGAGGTATAGAAGCAGACTTGACATCCAATGAATTATTTTCAATGCAGTAAATTTTCCTAAACAATGCTGTACCTTTGGTATAGTTTATTATGCTCCAATTTTGTCATAATTAATATTTCTAAGCGACCCTGCATTGAGCAGATGTGAGCGATTGTGGCGCCTCTTGTGGAGAAAAGGTAAAGCTCTTTTCGATGTCCGTACAGCGCCAATTCGTGCAGTGGCAAAACGCTCAAACTGTTCGCCAAGTTACCAACAGTCGAATTTGGCGAACAGTTTGAGCGTTTTGCCACTGCACGAATTGGCGCTGTACGGACGTCGAAAGGAGTTTCACCTTTTCTCCACAAGAGGCGCCACAATCGCTCATATCTATTCAATGCAAGATCACCTAAAAACGTTAATTATAGCAAAATTAGGTCATAAAAAACTAAACCGAGGATATGGAATTGTTTAGGAGAATCTATCATATCAGTATCGTCTTCATAAACAAATTACAACATTGCGGAACGTAATTAATTTCACTTTGAAGTTTAGTNTTGCAACCATTCCTTTTAAATTTTTCCATTCGTTCAGTTTTGCTTACCGATAATCGCTCGATCGAGGTTCGGACTGTATCGCATTTCAAAAATATTTTCTAATTCGTACATCGAATTTACATGTCGATATCGTATATAAAAACAAAAGACGGCATTGCGAAACGTAATTAATTGCTCTCTCATGTTTGATTAACCATTATGTCAACTAATTATATTTCGCATTGTTATTGTTTATTTTTCTTATACGATATTGATGCAGCAGATTTTCTTCTGTGCCCTTTGTTTAGTTTTTTATGAGTCACAAATTAAAGGTGAAGGAATACAATTCATGATCGACGGAATGCAGTGTGATTAACGCTGGCTGATTATTTAAGAACTGCTGATCAAGTTATAAGGGTGGTGAGAAAATGAATTTTATTAAGATTATAAAGTGTTAAAAGTACAAAGAGTTTTATAGGTACCCAAGGCTTAATTTGTTAGTAAATAATATTTGTAAAACTTACCTCTATTTGTGTTATGTAATCAAAGGAGAGAAAAGTACAACAACTATTATTTCAGTACACTTTATTATCTGTATCATATTTAAATGTAAATAATTCTGCTCCAAAGTCTAATGAAAGAGGGGGGTCAAGGTTTCATTTGCTACACAAGTGAATCCTCTAGTTTAATTGTTCATAATTCTTATTCTTGAATCGAATACAATCCGCGAGCTATCTAAGTATTAAAAATTTCACTTCCTATGGAGAACTAAGGCACTGTGAGATAATTAGTCTAAAATTCGACTTAAATTAGCGCCATGCAATATTCATGCCTAATTCCTCGCGAGAATTTTATTAGAATTTCATGACAATAAATAATTATACAATTTTCTGTAATCCCAGAAAAATAAATAATAAGGATCACTAAAATTATTGAAAGCCATTGCTTGTTATAATTTTTTAAAGGATAAAATATGAACAGATAATTTGTAGTCGCAAAAGTGGTTGATCACATTTATCGTTTTTTTCTTCATTTTATTTCTCAGGAACTCAAACGAAGGAATCTCCACGGAATTAAAAAAAATATCGTCGTTAATCAGATTAATCGTAGGCTTTATTCACGTAACCCCTTTCAAGCAATAAATATTCAAATCAAAACAGATTCGTTCTTCTGTGATATAACGTCTCGAAAAATGTTTTCCCTTAATCGATTTATATGCGGTTGATCCGCGGATCGGACGTCGATAAACATCAGAATTACATCCACTGACAGCAAAAACTAATTTACAATAATTTACTCGCTGCACATAGATTCCCGAATTTTGCAATTCCAAATGACATTAAGTTGTAGCCTTAGCCAATGATATCGTTTATTTATGTGTTCCTGACATTTAACCGTTGTTGTCAACCCTTCACCGGATTTACCTTCTGTCCCGCATCAGGCATCGATTCGCATAATTCAACAGTCCTTGTGCCCCTTGCACTCTCTTGTGATGCTTCTAGGCTGATTAAACAACGCTGTTCAGTATATCTCAAACAACCGACACGAGGTTACAATGATATCTGGATCCTCTGTTAAATACAAGTATATTTGGACCAAGTGCAAAGGATCGACACCGAGACCGTCGTGTTCGACTCTGAATAATAGATAAATAGATAATTATTAATCCTGATCGAAAGTAAAGCTGCAAAGGGTCGACAGATCTCCGAAAAAGCATTTGCGCCCGGTTTTATCTACGATTTTCCAAAGACGCCTGGAAAATGTCTCTCTCGTAAATCCGCTATCGTTTTAACACTATTTAATTAAGTACAAAACACGTTCCATTAGTACTTTTGCGTGTTCTACGGATCCTGTAGCATTAAAGCATACGGAAAATACGCTAACAATTTCTATATATATAATACAGGAAACTGGTGACTGCTTTAGTACACAATGCGTTTAAACATGTTTGTTCAGCTTGAGTGTTTCTTCTTCCTTCCTTGTTTCTCTTGAGATATCGAACTATATTCTTAGTCGTAGAAAGAATGCATGTCTGGTATTTCAAATAATTAAGTCGGATGTTTTAAGCACCTTCCGGAGAGTTCTTTTTTTTCATTATTTCACTTAGTTATTTGAAATTAGCCTTGCGTTTGTGTCTGCGTGGTACGTGTAAATGTGTGTGTATATATGTGTGTGTGTGTGTCTGCGTGTATCTTAACAATGATAAACTTAACAAACGACTCGATTACTAATATTTACAGTTATCAATGCGGTATGAGTGATATAGGTTCAGAATATATGGAACTACAGCCATTAATGATTAGAGCAAGGTGGAAACGTTGAACCGGCACAGTTTTGAACACTGGTCCATCCCCATCGATTTCCATCCCTCTTTGCGTTCTCTATGTTGTGTAGATGCGTGTCCTCCGTCCGTGTGTGCATAAAAGCATAAGTTCCATGCGTAAAAACCATAGGTTGCGTTCATCAGTTCCAGGGATTAAAATTCCATTCAACCCTTTTGCTACGGTCACTTGTTATGGCAAACTCGAGAAATAAAAGGGGACACCCGCGCGCGTTCCTCGCGCAAGAAAACCTTTTTTCACTAGCCGTTCGATAAGAATTTCTAGAACCTATGTATGTATAAAGTATCCTCTAGTCCTCTGCCCCCCCCCCCCCCCCCCCCCCCCCCAAACAAACCCCCC